GTGGGCAGGGCGCAGATAGCCCTTGTGTAACTTTGTGCATAATTAAAAAGAAACAAAGAAACAAACTTTGCTAAATGTTTAACCCACATATTTGTCATAGGTTTTTTTTAAGACAGTGTTTATTGACTTTCAGAATGTTATTAGTGTTCAAGGGTTTATGGACATTTATAAATGTCTTATCTCAAAAACGTGATTTATTAATGATCAGTTTCAGATAACGTGCAGAAGAGTTTTGTTGGTTATAAACAACAGAGTGAAAGCTGCCACGAAATTTGATTTTATTGCTGAAAGAACATATTTTCTCATCTTTTCTAATGTTATTCAAAATTATGTTTTCTTCTGATGCGCTATTCGTTTAGTATTTGTTGACTTATGACATTTATTCTGAGATATATGTGTGTATATATATTTTTATTTTGTCTTAGTAAATAACGGAGATTTTATTAATCTAATTAAATTCATGATTTCTAAAATATTTTTGTCATCTGTGTAGCGGCTTTGTCCGTTAGAAGATACCGAAAACTTCGACATTAGCTCACGCCCTCTGTTGGACGATGGAGATTATGAATTGCTCCTTGAAGAGGAAATTCCACCGAGAAATCAAGTCAGTGCCCCTGTTATTGTTCATCACGGTGTCACTAGTACCACGGAAATTCCTGTTGATCACTTACGACGGACATCAGTTCCTGTCCCTATTCCGGTTCCAGAATCGCAGAACAAAAAGGCTTCTACTTCCGGTGATGACAGTAATCGTCAAACTGGAGGTAACCTCACACCCAGGTCAGGGTCGGTCAGCGAGAGCTCGACCACGCCTGAAAAAGGTGGAAGTGATTCTTCAAGTGGTGTACATTCAAATTCTAGTATGTGTGAAAAACGAGCTACAAGTTTGGAAAATGTAGCCAACCTAGGAAGCTCAAAACCGTCTTGGAAAAGTATGTCTCTGCAGCGCAATGTGGCTCCACCTGCCGACGACAGTTATAAGTTAGGAATTTCTAAGAAACCTACTCCGATAGAGATTAACACTATTAAGCCTGAAAATGGTATTTATCTCGATCCTTACGAAACTACTTTAGTCATACGACGGAAACAAAGCGACGAAATAGAACATAAAAAGAACAGTTCTCAAGAACCTTTTGGTCGAGCAACTAACATGAGAATGACGTCATTTACGGATCATCCAGGTTTCACTGCCACCCCCGAACAACTAGATATGGAGCCAACTTCACGTAAAAGTGGCTTGGGACATTTAGGAGGAATAACTATTCTGAAAGGGGATTCAGTAAATCCTTACAGCAAACCAACTATTACCCCCAGTTCACTGACGGTGGTGACACCTGTATTACAGCATCAGAGACGAGACTCTGCAAATTATTCAATAGCGTCATCTGGTGAGTCGGACCACTACACATCACAATCCTGACGTCAAGAGTTGATTCCACGTTGCTAAAAAAAAACGCAAGCGAACCAGCTGAGCGCAAATACATTTTTTAAACTAATTGTGATAAGTGGCAAACAATTTCATAAAGAGTAAGGCATAACTTTTCCAAAGTAGTCCATAGCTTTCTTACTTTGACGAAACACGAGGCAGTCTTGTGAACGATGTTCGTCTGGTAAGACAGTTAATTGTTGTGTCAAACTTCAATCAACTAAAATATTCTTGGTTCTTCACATTACGAAATACGAAGCTAATCTGGATGAATATTCCAAACAAAACGTCTAAAAACACTTTGAAAATGAGATTGGCTCTGCATTCATATGAATATGCAGATTTCACAAACTTTACTAAGTTTATTTCAACTTTATTGACATAAGCGACAGAAAATTTGTCACGATCCCTAAACCAGTTGTCCAAAAACAATGTCAAACTTCTGAGGAAACGTATGACTCTTATAGTTGATGATGTTTAATTGTAGAGCTATTTTCAGGGCTTTATAAAAAGATCGAACAACAGCTGTGGCAACCTTAATTCTTATAAATCTTAAACATTAGAAAATTATCAGAACTTAAAGAGAGAAACCGAACAACGTGTGACCCATTCCTAAAAACTAGAGGTGACAAGAAGCATTTAGCGTTAATCACTATGGCATTTATTTGCCTATGTAAAATGCTTTGATATAAAATAAATAAATTTCGCTCGAGACCAACATTTACTTGTAGATAACTGACTCAAGTAAAATAAAATAAATATGCGAAGTTTCAGTGTATTCATAAAAATTGTTGTGAAATAATATGTATTCAAAGTGCTGTAAAGGTGAACAGGATTCTGCCGTAAAGGTGAGCAGAATTCTGTCATGGCATTTCGTAAATGTATAAATGTAAGTGCATATAAAGTTCAACTAGTAGTACAACTTTCTTTATTATATAGTTTTGAATATATATATATATATACCCGTTGAGCGGGGACCCTTTATAATATGGTTTAAGTGATTTATGTATTTCCCATGTAGGTTATAAGAAGGAGTAGATCATATACACATATAAATCACTTTAGAAAAAGTTTCTGTTTTGCCAGTGTTTTATATAACCTTTATGATGTAATCTCATATTTTCATGCATAAAAGTCCTGTTGAGCTGTGAAAACTTGTGCCGAATCCTATAGATATAACTATTGTTATGAATTATATTTCAACCAAAGACCCGGAAGGTTATGTTTGACAGTAATTTCGAGAATAATTTCCATATTTCAACCAAAGACCCGGAAGGTTACGTTTGACAGTAATTTCGAGAGTAATTTCCATATTTCAACCAAAGACCCGGAAGGTTATGTTTGACAGTAATTTCGAGAATAATTTCCATATTTCAACTAGAGACCCGGAAGGTTATGTTTGACAGTATTTTCGAGAATAATTTCCATATTTCAACCAAAGTCCCGGAAGGTTATGTTTGACAGTAATTTCGAGAATAATTTCCATATTTCAACCAAAGACCCGGAAGGGTATGTTTGACAGTAATTTCGAGAATAATTTCCATATTTCAACCAAAGACCCGGAAGGGTATGTTTGACGGTAATTTCGAGAATAATTTCCATATTTCAACCAAAGACCCGGAAGGTTATGTTTGATGGTAATTTTGAGAATAACTTAGACTTCCAACTAATTATTCTTTAAGCTTCATACACATAATACATGTTGATTGAAAACAATAATTCTTTAATTGAAAACAAAGCAAACATTACGTGCAAACATGTGATGAATAAGTAAAAGAAACTTTATATAAAATGAAGTTTTTTTCCTTTTTTTGTGATGGGGAAAGGAGGATTTATTACCACCTTTTGGATATCAGTATTTGTGTAGACTACAAAATGTTACCAAATAAAAACACGTTCTTTTTTTCATTTGATTAATTGCCTGCCATTTTTTTAGTACATGTTTTATAATTTAACTCATTTTTTAATCAACGAAAAACTATTAAATATATCAAATAATTTTACTGTTTTTGTGGGGTCACTCATATCACTGATATTATACTAATTATACATTAGTAAAAGTATATACAACATTCGATGAAAATTGATACAGCATAAAATCAGAGAAAATTTTCGAATACTTTTTTTAGTGCTGTAAATACGAAGATATGCACGACGTGTAAATGAAGAAAGACTGTTTATCCCATGCTATAACTGTAGTGCCAATCTTTTCGGTAGACGTACAAGATGTATGTGTGTGTATGTATACACATACATATACCGGTATGAAAGCGAATGTATACTCACACAAAATGCCATATTTTAAATATACAGTATTTTAAGGTGTATGGAAGAGAACGAAATGAAAACAAAGCCATTGTTGATGAGGGTATTATTTTAAGGTGTATGGAAGAGAACGAAATGAAAACGAAGCCATTGTTGATGAGGGTATCGTATGAAAGGCCTGGCATGGCCAGGTGGTTAGGGCGCTCGACTCGCAGTCTGAGGGTCGCGGGTTCGAATCCCCGTCACACCAAATATGCTCGCCCTTTCAGCCGTGGGGGCGTTATAATGTGACGGTCAATCCCACTATTCGTTGGTAAAACAAAGCCATTGTTGATGAGGGTATCGTATGAAAATAATGTGGAGCCTGCTTGCAAAGTCTTCACCTCAAAACCTTAATTCAATTTATTTTTAATTAAGATCTGATAAGCCACGTTTAAAATACTTTTTACAAACAGTTGAAAAAAATTAACTTATCAGGATTTGTAATTATGGTGTAGCCGATTACCACGGCTGTGCAATATTTCGACGTAAAATTTACGGTATTATTTTCTAAGCTTAACTGAAAAATGTAGCCCCTTACATTCCACACACGACCAGATCGACATATGTCAATTTTAGGTACAACTTAAGGAGCCACTTCTACACAATCATTAGCATAAACAATAAAGATTTAATTTACTTATTTTCCTTATTTTGTTACGAAGTAAGATACGCTTATGTAATATTGGATACTTATAAAATTTTAGATACCAATAACTTTCATTTCTTTAACAATTAACCTCTGTTTTCCTCTACAAGTCGGCAACTCTGATTCATATAGACCTCAAAGTTAATGTAATTATGTTTTCTAACGATGCCAGATGCCATCTGTGTAAATAACCGTAGGTCTGCAATATAGTTTTTACAATTACTAATCTCTTCGGACTTAAACCTTAATCTTTTCTGAGCTATATATGTAATTAAAATATTTTTTGAATTTTCCACTTTTCTCCATCACTATTGATAAATGTAAATCTCATTTTCTGTAAATGAATTAAATATCAAGTCAGGAACCATACTATAGACTTAATTAATAAATAATTCATTTTTCTAATATGAGTATTTTTGGTTTAATAAAGACCCTTTCAATATATTCATTTATTTTGATTTTTTTAAACAGTTAGAAGTCCTGAATTAAATATCAGAAAGAACTACGTTTTTTTTAAATCCACACAAGTTTTATTATGTAGAACCAATAAAAGAACTTGTGTGACTTATAAATCCCCATTTCCTAAGTTTCTTGCTTTTCTTTGTGATTCCCCATACTGATATTAAGAAAGGAAAAAAAGATATACTGTTATATTATGATCTTTCGAAATATCCCGTGTAATGTGTTTAGAAGACAATGCACGAGATGCTGAGGGACCTGGATGCACTTCTATGATTCGTCATTAATCTCAAGTCTCTGGAAGTATAAACGCGAGTATAATTTTGTAAAACACTATGTCAGTAAATATTTTGTTGGTAACTAAAATACAGAAAAGTCTAACCATAGAATTTCAAAAGTGTAGCTATATTGAAAAAATGACCAACCAATCCAATTAGCCTCAAATACTTGACATCTTACCACCAACAGATAATATTGTCACCCATATAACCGTAACGAGGAGCTTTTCCAGGAAAAACATTGTCGTACATTACAATCAAATTATTTACTGCTTTCTATACTTTTAGCGAAGTGTATACTCTCTCTTTTTTCAGGAGTTTCAAATAATTTGTTGTCTTTTTAAGTGAAGTGGAAGACATGTTCGTAACGACATCATTTAACACCGTCGTCGGTTATCTCGCTTAAAGTATCAATTTCTTCAGAGAAAATAAACACAACAAACCTTTTCCTTTACCCTAACAAGATCACCGTAGTTAAGGATAACGTTTTATTACAGCCTAATTTGTATAATAAATGTGAGACCAAGATTATAGTATGTGTATTTCAAATAAATCAAAAATGCTTATCTCTAGTTATCATCGTTTATGATATCACAAAAACACAGTATACGCAACACGAAGTACATGATTGTGTCAGTGTTAGAGTTTCTTATAAGGCCTATAAAATAAGTGTTTTCCATCGACAAACTTACTTGTAATTTAAGTGAAGTATACGCAACACGAAGTACATGATTGTGTCAGTGTTAGAGTTTCTTATAAGGCCTATAAAATAAGTGTTTTCCATCGACAAACTTACTTGTAATTTAAGTGAATCGTAGCTTTGTGGCTAGTGTTCTAACAGTCTTAAAATATGTAAAATACCAATAAGCAGCTTCTGCAGTTTGTCACAAAAGTGTAGCATTTATTCCTGGTATCCGAGTTTATTCAAAGTTCAAGTTAGGTTAAGAGCGCAAGCGCTTACAAACGGTAACGATTCGAGACGATCATAAGCCTAATTCGGTTAAAGTATCCTGCGAAGTCGTGTGAATGAAGGTGCTCTGTGTGACATTATACATTTAAACTTAAAGTTGTACCGAGAATGAAATTTTTGGCGAAAGGTTGACTACTTTGGTGTTCATGTTTGTTTTTTTGGTGCGTGCAAAAACCTGCTAAAGTTTTAACTGGGCTTGGGTATTTATTACTTTCTAAATGTGTAATAATTTAGTAAGGTTGCCTATTTTGTAAATTCTCTTTTGTCAAGATAATACTGTATATATATATTTCTCAATGTTCCTTCGTTTGTCTGTAGATAATTCGTTGAAATAAATTTTTTACTTCAATAATGTGTTATTTTTCTCTTTCTGAAACTGTATGTGCGTATATATACATATACGGCCCGGCATGGCCAGGTGGTTAGGGTGCTCGACTCGCAAT